TGCAACGATGAAGTAGCAAATGGTTTCCTAAGTCAACGACTTTCGCAATACCACGCCTCCTCAAAATCAGCCAATGTCAAGTCGTTACAGGACAAGACATGCATTCATCTTATCTCATACTCTCTATTCTTAATCGTTCCAGAAAAAGTTCGAAGCAAAATCAACGTGCATTGCAATTACCACAGTACTCGGTGCTCCGCTACTGTAGTCATAATTGTTTTATCATTCTTACCAAAATTGAAAGCGAATTCTGGATAAAGTGATGCGACTTGAAAGTTCACTATATTTTGGGGACATTAGAGACTTGTCATAATCGACCTTGAAAGTTAAATATCTTCAAACGTGCAACGACACGTTACATTATACAAAACAATGTTAGTCAAATACTGCTTGCTTAAATATCACACCATCGCCATACATAGGTTTATCGACATCACCTCAAAAGTAAGTTCCCATAGAGACAATCGTTCGTGAATTTTAGTTGTTTATGGGGCTGAGTCCTGGGTGATTCTGATTAAAATGTACATTCTAAWCGAACAGCCCAAAAATCGGGTGGCAATGCCCGTCAGGGTTACTATCATGGAAAGGTCAAAATTCATGATAATGTATGATAATGTAAGCAGTAAGTACTGATTACGAGATTCGGTTGCCATAATAATTATTTACCATTAGAGCATCCGCCACCATACTGAGCAAACTTGCASTAAGAAATGTTTGGTATCTTGRMCAGGAAATACCAGCAGGCATGCATATAATATGTGTACTGAAAAATATAAAAAATATAATCATCCGATCTTAGCGATCCTCGAATCTTCCCTCCGATTCCTCTATTAGAACTGAATCATCTAATAAGGGAGTGCGTGATTTAAGCAATTTTATTGAAGACGAAATTGTTCTATTTTACCATARTTAACTATGATTTTGTTTATATAAGAACCTATTTCCAAAAACGTCAAATAGAAAATAAAACATTTGTACTTAAATAAAAAAGAATACATTAAATAATTAAATAAGACAAACAAAAGAGTTCGACCTGGAGAGTGATCCTCCTGTCCTTTTTATAAAATAAATGCCTCTTTACAAATCTACTATTTGACATATTTTCTCTGACAACATTTTTGGATTTATTAATATACCAACAATCAGTAAAATGTATAATTAACGTAATAAGAAAGTCAAGTGAAGAATATGGAACTAAAAAATAGATGTTTTACCTTAATGGCCGCCATATGTCTCATTAACAAATTAACAAAGAGATGTAGCCATACCCCAACCATGTGCATTTCSTTTGATTGAAATAATCTATATCCTATGGATTTTCAATGAAAACTAATGAKCYTTTTGTAGAGCTTCCAGTTAAGTTTTTCTCTAAAGTGTTTCATGTTTAAATAATGTGAATGAGTGGCGTTTATTTTGGCAAACGATCTATTGATGTCCACAGCCCTGACAAGGCACGCACTCCTCTCTTCTAAATCAAGTACGTCAATTCTTGCCTTGAAATATACGGCTATAATAGCCTACGTGTAGTCAACAATATATAAATATGCAATAGTGTTCCTTGTATTATATATAGTTCATAATCTGAAACATGGGTTTTTCTAATTAAACTATCCTTGAAATTCAGTTTAGTTAAGAAGTACAGATTTCAGAAGCTCCATYATTGCATCATTACCTCAGTCACTTTATTGCAGTCCTAGTTGTACTTCAGTAACCTCTCAAGAACATTTTAATAATACAGTTTTCTTTTTCGCAAGCTGCTGCACACTCTGCATTTCTGTTCATTATGACGAAGCTGATATTCACTGAATTCATCCCGCGGAAACAAACGCTTGCATCCATTGCATAACGTATCCGCAGTCGAATTGTCTTCCCCATCTTCACTAGGAATCACATCCAAAGGGAGGAAGCCGTTGCCTTCGTATTGATCAAAACTGCGAACGGCTTTACCTCGAAAGAGATCGGTGTAACGCTCTGAGGCAAGTCTCAGTCGAGAGAGCTCTTCCCCATTGGCACTTTTSAGTTTGTTGTACAGCTTGAACAACTCTAGSGTATCAACTGCACAATAGCGAAGCAATACGTCTGAAATAGGTCTTCGCTTCCACAGATTCTTCCTTCAAATTCAAATTCTTCCTTCGTCTTTGGTATTAATTGCACGAGTGTCTTTGGTATACAACTCCAAACAATAATTGAATCCACGGATTTTCTCTACTTCGCTGCCTCTATCGCTTCGACGTACTTCACTGCCTCTACCGCTTCGACGTGATAGCTGAAACCTCAAACTGGATCCTCCGTATTCCTCACGTCTCTTCATCACTTCGAGAAGCTGAACGTCCAAAACTCCAGTCAATTTGACTTGATACTGATGCCAAAGACTGTCTGAATCTTGTCTGCAATCAAACATCAACTTTTCTCTTGACTTGTCTTCTAAGATTTCACGAAGACCTTCGTCAAACAGTACTTTCTTAAGTTTTACAACATCGAATATGTAGGCTTTCTCCTCTGTGGCCACGGTGACAATCGTAAGCTCTCCTTCTCTACTCAATTTAACACCCTCACAGTCCACGGCTAGTAAGTTAGCCTTTGACTTGAAGCTTTTTAGCTCTCGCAATGATTCCTGAAGGCCATCTGCATTGTCAACAAGTATGTAGTTTTTTGAATAGCCACAAGCCATGTTTAGGCTACCAAAACTAGATTGAAACGAAATTATCGAAGAGAATTATAGGACAAATATCATTCACATCGACAAAGGTTTGCTGGTATGGCAAAACCACAATGCTTCATGGAACTTTAACAATACCACGCTTCCGAGAAATACAGCAAATGTCATGTAAGTTGTCGTGACAAAACACATAACCATCCATTCATGTTCTTCTTATCGTTGAAAAAAAGCTAAATTCTGGTTGAATTCTTATGCAAACTCGGTGTTCCGATTCATTATAGTTACATCGTCTTCATTATTAATAAATTCAAGAGTGAATTCTGTATGTATCACCTGATGTGTCTATTTCAATATGTAGTGGTTAGGGGTTTCATTCATGATATTCGCTGTAGTGAAGCATCATTGCGCTTCGCTTCGTTGCATAAATTATCGATTGCCCTAATGTTGAAGTTAAAGACTGTGTGAATATTATTGCTTGACGGAGGAGAAGTATGGATAACATTTTCTGATTGAAGTTCGCATTAAGTTTATACAGTTTATAGTACACAATTTATTTACTAATTCCAATTTTTCGACCAAACAAAAATGCTAAAGAACTTTTCTTACATAAATAATCATTCGCCGAAATGTTTTGAAAACTAAGAAATTCTCAGAACTATCTAGACTTCTATTAATTTACATTTAGACAATGGCATGCATGACGGGAGTACGTTATACAGCTCAAATAGATATTACACTAATACACGTTGGATTAATCGCACTTAAACCGCGCGCAACTGTACAAACTAAATAGTGATATCTAATTGTATTTAGAAACTCGTGCATGTGGTACGCAAAATAAATTTAATTGATAGAAATGAAGCATTCAATACCGTCTTGCTTCAGGTCCACTCTTAGTACAAATTAATACTACTTAGATTTTGTACAGTTGTACAGTTTAAGTGCGATCACTCTAATTTTTCACGCCGTTGCTAAAAGCACTCTATTTTTAAAACTGCTTACTTTACTGACAAATCTAAATCTATGTCTTTGGATAAAGTCCACACAACTTCCCCTGCACCACGTCATCCTTCCCCTGCCATATATTTCAAAAAAAATATTTTAACGAGTGACGTCGATTTCGGAGATGTCTATCAAGTAAGAAAAAAAGCAAGCAAAATCAAAACTAAAATATCYGTATATAGCTTTCAGTATACGGAAACTCCTCTGTCCCGAATCAACAACATACACTATAGCGAAGATTTCGCCACAATTGTCTATGTGCTGTATAGCAGACTACATGGTGTATGCCTGAACCCGTTTTCTACAATATATAAGTATTAGTGTATGCAATAGCAATCCTTATCTGAATATCACAATCAAAACRTTTAGTGCTTTTATTTCTCTATGTGACCTAAAAAAATAATAACTAAAAACTAAAAATTAAAACTATATTGCTCAATGGTTGATTYGAAATACGATTCGATTTAGTCATATTTTCCAGCCGATGTAAAGTTAAAACCCAGGATCCCGGTGATAAACGAGAGCTAGTCATATTTTCTTATCCAAAAAGGTTGCGGATTGAGATGTGTACATATACACATATATAATGAGATTCATAATATAGTTAATGAGATGCAGAAGTATGTCTAAATAAAATGTCAAGGCAACCCAAACTCCACGAAAGACTTCTAAATACGTTTGACATTTATCTATATTCCTGTAAAACTGACAGACATGTTAAAAAAACGTTTTGTACTATGGCAACTGTGCTTTTCTCTATATTCAAAATCATTTTGGAATCTCATCGGTTAGGCGCTGTTTCAGCTGCTCCTATTGTCTTGATAGTACTTTGTCATAAATTTAGATAGATGAAGACTCTAAATGTACCTCTAATGTACCCCATTCAGTATTTTATGAATCTTAT